TAGAGAGAGAGAGTGGGTCAGTCATTCACTACTCAGTGTTTGTGTGTGTGACCTGCATATCAATAGGAGAGACATTGGGTCGCTATTGACAACTGAATCTCTTTCTCTCACCTCGTTCCTCTGCACACACACACACACACACACACACACACACACACACACACACACACACACACACACACACACACACACACACACACACACACACACACAGGAAGGGAAGGTGTGAGAGGTGTACGTCCCTGGTGTGCTGTTTGTTCACCCTCTGAACACCGTGTGCTGCTCAGAGCTGCGTCGTGGAAACTGCACCGGGCCTGAGTCACTTCCACAACACTGCAACTGTCCCCGTGTTCTGCTCCGAGCGGCCCGGCCCGGCCCGGCCGCTAATCTGGCTGCACCTATTGTTGCTGATCCTCATCCTCTCTCTTCTTGCATAACAAACTAGGTGGGTGTTTTCCTGCAAAGCCACAGGATTAACAGTGTGAACGCAGAAGACCGAGGCGCGAGAAGAAAACACACGAAGGAGATGGAGGAGGAGGTGGAGGAGGTGGAGGAGGAGGAGGAAAAAAACCTCTGAGTGCTTGTACAGTCTGTTACTGAGCAGCACTTATGTTAGAAGGAAACTTATGTGTGATTGATGAAGAAGATGTTGTTGTTGTTGTGATGTTTGTCACTCTGATCCACAATCTGAGCGTTTGTCTCTTGTCTGGATGCTTTCGTGCAGTTTTTCAAACCCGCCTTCAGGACTTGAGTTTTTTTATAAATCTTACCAAACAGCCTACAGGCCCTTTCTAGAGCACGTCTACTGTGAGCATGTCCTATTATACCTTTCTGGCAACCACTAATTCCAGTTCCTGTCAGCGTGGGGTCAGCGTCCATTTATAGAGCGACTTGAGGAAACTCATCAGTGAACATGAAAAGCTGCAACCTCAGAGCACATACGTGTCGCTAAACTGGTCCACAGTAAATACAGTCTGTGTCATGTGGAATTAAAAAGAATAAAAGCCTGAAAGAGGGGGAAGCTGTAGGTTAAAGGATCACAGCCGCTACAGGGAGGTGATCTCACAACCACTCGCTCAACAATTTCAATATATTCTGACGAGAACCCGTGAGTCACGTATTCTGTGAAAACAATCAGTCCGTCTGTCCCAGCGGTGCGTTATTAGGACACAGAGCGAGGCAGCCGGCTGCTCGGTGTGAAGCGTTGCAGTCAGTGAGTCACTCTTCCAGCCGGAGAAAGTGGTAATGAAGGCCGGGCTAATTTAGAACAGCACACCTACGTGGTGCTGAAATAGACTCGAGAATAAGAGGGCGACGACTTGCGAGATCTGGAGAGCGACTCAGAGAGGTGAGGGGAGGAGATGGAAGAGCAGAGAAAGGAAAGCAAGGACGAGTGATTTAGACCAATGTCCTGTGTTTGTGCTCTTCATCAGAGACACCCACAGACAGATTCTGTGGGACAGAACACAACCCCTGGACATACTGTCTGATTATTGCCCCGCTGCTCTGATGTAACACCTTCAATAGACTGTTAATGTCACACCACAGACTCAGTGCAGACTGTTGTTCTGCTGCCCAGACATTGCCTTCATTTCTGGCAGGCTAATGTGTTCTGTTGAGGGGTTTTAGACACCAGACTAACTTCTGCTGGAGAATCAGAACCCCCACATCCTACGTTTTCAGCATCAAAGGTTATGTTTCCATCATTCTGATGCAAAATGAATTTAATCTGAGCTGCAGATTCCAGCCTGCAGCACAAGAAATCAACAGCGCTTGGCTTGAAATGCTAATTTGTCGTTTTAGATGACGGTCTGCGATCTGAGCACCCCGATACTTCTGAACCCGGGTCGCATCGCGGCGGTTACATAAAACCAAATGGATGAATAATCAAGCAGATTCATGCAGTGTGAAGTGATTCACCAGCGAAGAAGAGACAATAACAATGAACGGCGCGTAGGTGTGAGATGAATGAAGGAATTAGTACTGCATATTGTGTAACGACGTTAAATACTAAGATGTCATAAAGCCACACATCACACCGCGGGCCGTTACGTAACGTGAAGGCAGATGAAGCAGATCCCTCCTAAATGAACTGAGCGATGAAGTCTGGCTGCGTTTCCTCCTCTCTGCTGGACATCACACCAGCGTCTAATAGTGGCCACCGAGTGCCTGGAGCTGTAATTCATCTGTGGAGTAATCTAGTTAAAGAGATTAGCAGAGTGGTTATGTAGCAGGAGGACAGGAAAATAGACCTGATCCCTCTGAGGTGTTGTCTCAGTTTGTCCAGACTTGGTCTTTTTCCCAAATGGATGAAGACGACAAACGTTGGGCGAAAGACAATCAGAAGTAAATGTAGTGATCAAACAGGGAGTGTCTACAGCACGTATACTGGATCAGATGCACAGAATAAAATACAGTTCAAACTTCACCAAACTGTCGTTCTCCTCGTCTTTCACCAGCGGTAGACGAGTATCTGGAGAAGTGAGTGTACCTCTGAGCAGTACCACTGAA